GATTCATGGTGAATGTTTTGGAGAAAGCAGTATTTCTGCATATAAGACTTCTATGGAAGAGATTTGGGATTACTAAGATTAAAATAGATCTTAAATATCATCCAGTCCAGCCACCTTTATGAGGCTCAGATCCCCTCTATAACAGTCCCTTCTAATTTTTCCTTGTCAATTTCCAGTAACACTGAACTCAAAACTTCACATTAGAACTCTTTTGTATATAATTTTGATACTCAAGAAGTATTCTTTCTTACATAAAGATAGAGTAATCTCTCTACAACTTGAACACTTTTCTTCTAGTTTTGTATCCTCACCCAACAATGAAAAGAACAACAGTTCTTCCACATAACACCCCTAAAAATATTCTGTAATCAGTCATTAGAGAGGTCAACAAGGAGAATGAACACACCCATTTACATATCTACTCTTAAATGATTTAAACTCTCTACACCTATTCCTTTCACACCTCTAATCTTTCTCAAGGTCCTGATATGCTTCTGCCTTCAGAAGTGGATACTGTTTCTTGGCGAACTATTAATTCCTACAGCAGGGTGGAATAAAAAGCCTTTTTTTTTTTTCCTATTCCATTACTGTATATCTATCAATGAGGCATAAATTTATTAACTAATATATTGGCTTTAGAATTACATGAACATTCTAAATTGTTCTTACAAAATATGCTCTATCTGAAGAGGTTTTATCCTATATCTCTATACTTCTGAATCACACACAGTATTATAAACCAGTGTTACCATAATAAAAAATATAAATTAAGAAAAAAATGCAAATAAATCCTTGATATCTATACTTGTAGAGTAGGAAATTCTGAACCTTTTTTTTTTTTTATTAAAAAGTTTATTTTTACATCATTTTTCACATTTTTTTTTCATCTCAATTGTAATCCCCACGGGCTGAACCTTTTTTTTTTTAACCTTTTTGATATAACCTTTAGGAATAACACTAATCTCTTCATTTGGGATTCCAAGCCATATTAGTAATCCACAAATGAAAGCCTGTGCTATTGAAATGCCCATGGCCTGGTGATTGGGGGCTATGGCGACCAAGGACAGAGAGAATCCTAATCATGCCACCAGACACCTTGATCTAAAGTGGCATCACTCTACTCATCAGCACTATTATGGGAAGGTTAATCATTCAGTTACAAATCCCGCTTAATTTTTTTAATCACTGGGCCCCATTTTGACATCTTGACCACTGGGATGTCAAGAGTCAGACTCACTCACCACTTTTCCTGCTTAGTTACTAAGTAACTTTGTCAATGAAACAAATGAGCTTTGTCTGATATGGCTATTTTTAATATAGTTTAATTTGCTTTATCTCAAGACCTTCACATAAAATTAAAACTCAAGCCATTTAGGATTCTAATTACTAATGCAGGGTCCTGGACCTTGGGGTTGGGACTCCTTGTTCTTAGTAGCCCTGACAAGACAAGATGCCAAAGTTATAACTTTCCTGAGAAATAAACTTTTAATAAAACTTGGTATATGCTTATGTACTCTCTATTTTACAAAATTGAAAGCTCCTCGCTGACAACAGCTAGGCTTTAGTCATTTTTTTCAAGTCCATTTTTAATCACTCAACATTGGCTTCAATGTGTGCTTGTCCCCTCAAAACAGGAATAAATGACCTTGGATTATTTACATTTTTATTCCTCAAAAATCTCAGCTCTCTTGGCCACAACAACCTTTTTATTAATATCTCTTCTTGGGTGAAATCTTTCTCACACTTCAGCAGATAGAAGCAAAAAAGAGCTGCTGAGTGGTTTTACTTGTCTTATTGATGTCCACAATTTTATTCACCTTCCTTGCATTGTAAAATTACTGAATAAAAACATAATAATGATTTTACTTTTCCTGGGCAGTTTTTCCAGTTACTAGCTTGTTGTGGGTAATATTCTTCCTAACATTGTTTTTATAAGTCTATGTCACTTGCTGATATCTATCATTTGTTACAGATTTCTACTTTTAATTGGTGCTAGTTTCTGAATGGAAGGGCTTTATGAAAATACAATTGTACTGATTTCCTTTTCACCAGTTTTGAACTTGAGACACACAGCCCCTGAAAATGTATAAGAAAGGTTACATTTTAAGAATGCTCTATATTTTTCTAATTGTGTATGTGGGATACTTTTATTTTTGATAGATTATTGTTAATCAAATTTCTAATGATAATTCCTATCCGAGCTGAATATAAAATAAAAATAGATGCTGGAAGGGATAATGTTAACTGAAATAAGTGTAAAGGAGAAAGATAAATATCAGATGGTGTCACTAATGTGTGGAATATAAATTAGTAGCAAATAAAGATAAGATGCATAATTAACCCTTGATAGTTGACTGCAGAACTGAAGGACCAAGAGGGAGAAGGGGTTTGGAAGTTGTAAGAACAAAAGAGGGTAAAAGAGCACTTTGACGAAATACCTGATGGGGTGGCCAAATGTTACCTGAATTAGAAACAAATAACTTTACTTTTTTTAAAAAAGAAAATACAATTGAAAACAAACACATTTTAAATGGGAAAAGTAAATTATAGACCTAATGATGAAATTGCATGTTGAAATAGGAGTATGTAAAATGATTATGATGCTAGCAAAATAAATGTTTCAAAATAACTCTACACAATTATGAATTATACCATAATATACTGGAAATGACACAAATAATTTGGTGAGACTCTAATTGTCAAACAAAATGAAACACAATTTAAGTCTTTTTTAATATCAAAAAATCTTCTTTCCCTATGCAATAAAATATTTTATAACCTAAGGTTTCTTCTTTTAAGAGATATAAATCCAAGGAAAATTTAATTCTGCTGCTGAACAACACTATATCATACAGCGAGTGCATGTCAGTTTCCCAAGGCTTCTGAAAGATTTGAGTGGGTTTCAAACTGTGGAAGTTGGGAAATGCATTTTGAAATAATACTACTGTTGTGAATCTGCAAACATGAACATTATTCTCAAAAATTCTTTTGGTACCAGTGCAGGAAAGTAAGGATTATATATGAGTGATCATCTTTTTATTTGAGAAACAATTCTAAATAAATAATTCTAAATTAAATAGAAGGAAAAGAGGAAAAAACAAAGATGAAATAAAGACTAACAAAGACATTAAGAGAAATTTTAAATAAAAATATATGTAGATGATAAAAATGTCATCAATTCAGGAAATACATTTCATATTATTTCTACTTCGACAAAATACTAATTTATATATCCATTAGTGCATTCATTCATCTATATGTTTCTCAATCTATATATGTATGTTTATATATTTATCTCTGGTCATTTCAATTGTACTTATCAATATTTTTATTCAGTTAATCACTGACAATGAGCCAGCTGCCTTTTTGTGTGCATTTTTATATTTACTTTATGAAGAGTATGTACTTACAAACATACTGCAATTTCAAATAATAAATTGCAGGAACCATCTTTCTGTGAATATAAAAATTCATTTTTTTTTAGTGACTGCATGACAATCTACTGAACTTATTTTCTGTAATGGGAGTATTCAATTTGCATTCAAGATGTTCCAAATTAGTTTTTACAATTCAGTAATAAGTGTTATTAAGCACTTATACTTCTGCACTTATCAATAAAAAAGATGCACAGTTGCAGCAAAGTGTGATAAATATTGATACATAACACCACATTGTCCTCTGAAATGGCCTTTTACCAATTTACTCACACAATCTTTAAAGATATGTTTGTTCATTCCTGCCTCAACACTAGGTACAGTCAACTTTACAGTCTCATAAAATAAACTGATTTGAACACAACCCTATTTCTCTGTTCCTTCCTCTAGCTCCCACTTACATGCTTTATTCTGACTTAGAGTATTCTTTGCATTTTTGTGTAGACCTCAATTTTTTCAACACAAATTCTATACACTCACGTAGCTAAGATTTCACATACATCGATGGACTAAATGGTGTTATATGCAATGGTTTTAACCGTTTTTGAATCACTGGCACTGGGCTGAGTATCTGAGTTCTTCAAATTGTAACAGTGCAAGCCCCATAGAAAGGGGAGGTTCCAGGTTCCCTCCCCACCTGAGGAAAGGTGGAGTGGACCATCAAGAGGAAGCTGAAGAAGACTAGGAAAAGCACTTGGGAAATGAAAGAAGATGACTTTCGAGACTCTTGGGGCAGCAAGACATGTGAAGAAGAAGCTGTGCTTGCTTCTCAGCCCTAGACCTGTACCAGGGACTTGGGGGACATGCAGAAGACACTTAGATTGCCATGGGAGAGAGACAGATGGGGAGACTGGCAATGGCAGTCTGTAGCTTGATTTCTACTTTAGTTTTTGCTCCTTCATCCTAGACTTCCTTGGCCCCTTCTACCCCTTTCCGATAGTTCCCTGCCAGAGGTTTTATAGACTTGTGGCAAACTTTCAGGCCTCAGCAGCCCTGCTTAGGGTCAGCTCTGTTTGGCTGGGCATTTACCCTCATGCAGATGAGTAAGTTTGGGATTTCAGGGCAAAGTTCTTAAACTATATTCTTTCTTCTCTAGTTCACATTAATTCTATGAAAAGTTCTTTTCTGTTGAAAGTGTTATGCAGTAAGAGTATGTGCAGCATGGCAAAAGTCATTTAGAGCAGGCAGGTTTGGGGGTTCCAGGGTGCCCCTTATTCTATCCACCAGCAAAATTACCAAGACATTGTCTATTCAATGATAAATAAGCACAGCTGTGATAATACTTGCCTTATAAGGTCCTTCTCTCTGTCACAGAGTTTGCATCAAATACATTTTAACTATTGTTATTAATAGACACATCAAAAGGACTGAGTATTTCACAGGACTCTTACCTTCTTTCACCAAACATTTATTTAGCTAAAGTGTATTTGCAGTACTGATTTAAAAAAAAAAAAAAAGTTTGTCAGGCAGGAAAAAGAAGTGAGAAAATGAGACATGAAATGGCCATGGATGACTACTCAGAAGTCACTCAATGAGGGGCAGTGAAAAGCCAACATACATACTTACGGAGCTGCCCGAGTCGAGCTTTCTCTTTTTTACCAAACAGACGTCCTATTGAAGACTTTATCCCTTTCTTCTTGGGGGCTTTGTGAAGAGAGTCTTGGCTGCTGTTGGCACTGCCAAGCCCCAGGCTGTCTGGTTCAAGGGAAGAAGCTAAGCTACTGCAAAACATGAAAGAGGGTGAACTGTTTTGATGCAGCCTCTAAGAGGTACACAAGACTTGTTTCCATTATAAAGATACAAAAGGAAGAACAGTAGAGTTTAATGTCATTTTCTCTCTTAAGTCTCTTGTTTCCTCTATGAAATATTGAAGTGTGGTTTTCTCAGCCTTATGTCCGGCTATAGAAATGTCTCTTTGTTTGTGATCAGGTGATTATTTTTACCTAATTTTTGTGCAAGCTTCAGTCATATTAACTGCATGTTAAACAATCTTTATTATTTATCATGTGACCTTTTCTGGAGTTCTTTTTTTTTTAACCTAACAGAAACATATAGCTAATAATGAAATGTGAGCAACATCACTAGTTCATGGTTTTGGGGTAGAACAAGAATTTAGCACAATGACAGTGCCCTACTTCCATCCAGTATTTCTGAAAACAGCTACGCACATTTCAGAACCAAGTGACTCAAACCTTATTAGTTTATTTCACAGCAGACATGCCTGGTTGTGTAACTTCTCCTATCAGCAGGTTAGGAGATAGATGCTTGTGATGAACAAAGTAGCCAGATTTTATACAAATCTGTAAATTCTTGCCTCTATTCTTAAACAAAACTGGACAAACCCCATTCTCTCATCTGTAATCCCTCCCTCTTTATTAAATAAAAATTGTCAGCATCCATACAGGATCCTATTTGTGAGTTCCTGACCCCTCAAGCTATGCAAGTATTTGCATCAGCTGCTTGAAGCCAAAGGAACAATTCTCTGAATTTGTCCACACTCACTCTCGAGTATTTACTTTCACCTACTCATGGCCACATGAATTCTTACATAGAAGTCAAGAATCTTGGGTCCTTTCAGCACCCCTGCACCCCAACAGTTTTAGGGGAATTTCCTCTAGCCATATTTCTTTCATTATAGGGGTCTAATTGATTTAATTTAAACCATTTGGGTAGCATTTAGAAGCAACAAATCAAATACCCTAGTGATCACTGTATACTTTCTCTGCAAGTGCTCTGTATTCTTCTAATTATATAATAGGCTGAAATGATTTTGAGGTAATTAGTCCATGCTCCATCCTCGGCCAATGTTTGACACTGTTAATGTGAGCGGTTCAATAAGTTAGTGAATTACTCTTTTTTTTGCAGCTGTTAATTGAACCATGTCATGGTGAATTATTTAATTTTATATATTCATTCTAATTAAACTGGGTTCATAGTCTCCAAATTACAAAACAATAGCTTTTTACATATTACAACATAATCCATTCTATTTTGGAGAGTGAGGGAAGTAAATATTTGAAGTAGAGGGAACTAGTTTCTTTTCACATCTTTGAAATCAAAAAGAAACTTAACAGAAATAAAGAAATGCCTATCAGCAAAGAAAGCTGTTTTAAAAAATATGTGGTATGAGCACATACCATTTAGAAGGTAGACTCTTACTTAAAGTATTATTCATTAAATCATCATGATAAGTTATATGAATCAATTATCCAGAGATGCTGCTACTGATGACAGTAAATTATATACATTTAAGATATATTGATAAACCGCATGCTTAGCTTTATGTTACTGTTATAGAAATCTGCTTGCAAGGTTTTAAGAGAGATGAAAATGATAGGATGGAGAGTAGCTATGAAAATAAAAAATTTCCCCATGTAAACTTATCTTTTCATGAATATTTTGGTAGTTGTTCTAGAACTTTGTCTGAAAAGCTGCCATAGCTGAAAACAACCATGTGCATGGGTGGAGTAAATCCTAACTGCCTAAATAAATGTTTCAGACCTTTGTCACTTTCAGATACTTTCAACCACTTTAGTCTTAGCCCAGAATCCCTTTCTTTATCACTATTTCTAATATATCCCTCACCAAAGCTGACTCCATTTTAACAGGAAATACACACTAAACATTAAAAAAGCTCTTCTAAATACTGGCTAGCAACAAGACCACAAATACACAAATATATTTAATTAATTTTAAAATTAATCTCAGCATGGAAATTTGTTTTTCATCAAAAGTGATGCTAAGCAGAGTGGTTGGGGCTACTCCAGTGGAGAATTCTAGTTGGAATAAAACTTTTCATACAAATTTTTAAGGATTCTATTTGATAATACTGAAAGAAAGATTTTGGGAAGGAGATAATGTGCAGAGTACAAAGACAGTCATACCTTCGGGCTTCATTGTGGTAGGAAGAAGGGAGTGTGTGAGTCATCCTGATGGCTCTAGGCGTGGGGGGAGGAGAAGTTTCACATTTAATTGTTGCTTTATCCTCCCTACCATCTTCTTCCACCACTGCAATCTAGAAGTAGCAAAAATACAAAACAAAACAAAACAAACAAAAAACAACCCAGATCAGATCAGTTCTTTCTAAATTTCAACTGAAATTGATGGAAATAGGGAACTACTAAAGTAAGACTATTTGAGTAATTCTAATATAAAGCCAAACAAAAATCTTAAGGCAACAATTCTTTTATGCATATATTTACATTATTTAAGAGTATGATTTTCACACTGAAAAAAGTAAAGATACTCCAGTTTAAATAACACTAACCTACTACAAAAAAAATGTAAGAGTCAATAAGTCTAATCATTGCTATGTAAATCACAAAAATTTTATTTCCAGCATTTGCCCTTAAGGCCATATTAAATAACACTTAGTAACTTTTAATATTTTTACGTAAATAAAATACTTTAACTAGGGGGAATCATATATTAATTCTTTTATTGAAAAAATGATATATAACTAGTAACCATATAAAAGATATTTACAATACCTTTCTACGATGTTTCCTTAAATCACTTGGCTGTGATTGGCAGTAATAAAAAAAAATAATAGAACTAGTTAGTGATGGTCATTTGACTACATTACAATGTTAAAAGAGTATGTGTAACTTGGCTATCATTCTTTCATTGTGTTCTTTTCTACTTATTAATTATTACTAAGGCATTCTGCTCAGAAGTTGCTTTAGATAGGGAATTTCCTAAATGGCATGGAGGGGACATGTCTTTGTGATGGGGCCATGCGTATATGCATAAAATATGACATGCTGCATCCTTGGGCATTCATAATGCACATATGGAGTGAGCTAGACAGAAATAAATATAGGAATATACGGTCCCTAGAGAATATAGATACAAACAAAGAAGACTATGCATGAAGGCCTCATCCCGTCTGTGTGGAGCCTAAGATTTCCTTTGGAAAGTTCTGCATTTCCTGTAGGTTCTCAAGCTTCTTGGCATTCCAACAAGCCCAAATGCCAAGAGCTCTGAACTTGAACAATGTTTCTGGGGCTCCTGTTTTCTTTTCAATGCTTTTTAAAAGAACTTTAAAGTAGTAAAAATCTTTTGAGATTCCAAAAGACCATTTTCAGTTCTGTTAATTTTTCTTCTGTAGATAAACAATTTTTATACTATCCCATTATACTTCATACTTTAGTTGTTATTGAAAATTTTACTTCATTTGATATTCAATATTGCTTGCATAGATCTATATCATTCTTATGGACCTATGATAAGTAAAAGTAAATGTAGTAAGTATGTTCTATTATAAGGACAAGTAATGCTTTCAAAACATATAAACATACAGAACTAATATAATATCTTTTCAATATCTAAACTTCTGTCAAAGTTTCCAATCTGCCTCTGACTAGAAAACATAAATTATATTAAACAAAATTATTTTCCTCTGATATTTTCTACATATAAGAAAATACATCCATCTTTATTACAACAACAATGAATTTGGTGACCACGTTTTACTAAGATGAAGATATCCTAGATTTTATTTATTTTTCTGACATCTATCAAGAATTTAAATACATTTTTTAGCCGTTAGGAAATACCCTAAATAGTTTAAGAAATTATATAATTATATAATTATCTAATTATTGTGTAACAGTAGTCATTTACCTTGTATTTATTTGACTGACTACTCACTAAAATGTATAAAAGCACGACATCGGCTCCATACACAGAATGTCCTAAGGCTAGGAAGAGACACCCAGTAAGTTCCAGCAACTGCATCATTAATCCTAACGGGCACCAACTTCTCCCCACACGATATCATACCAATGTCATTACTCCCATCCGGTCCATTTCCCTGGCAGGACTCCTCGGGGTGAGCTTTGGCGTTGAGTGTCCACTAGGGGGCGATGAACTGGCCAGCGAGGAAGCTGTCACTGAGGCAGTGATGGAGGTACCTGGGTGAACCCTCGCCAAGTTCAAACCTTCCAGACTCACACTAGCCACTCTATTCTCAATTTCTTCAGCACGTAGCTCTGTAGATTCTTTTTCTTCCTGAATTAACCTGAAATAAAGAGTTTATTTTTGATCTACTATATGCCTCTAGATTTGGTAATTGGAATTCACACAAGACATTAAAAACTGCTTTATCAACATTTTATATCAAATATAATTATTTTAATCTTTTTATTTTGTCTAGTCAATGTAATTTTCAATAAATTTCAGGGTTGAGGTTCTTTTCATATAATATATATTTTCTCCCCACTTTCAGTTTGATTTTTTCTATATTGGTACTAGCTAAAACTGCCTTTTTAGTAATTGTTTTTTAATTGTTGCCATGTAAGATTGTCTACATCTTCTTTTAAGATTCACCTATATCTTCTTTTCTGCTTTTTTAACTGAAGCAACATTATATTGTTTCAGGTGTGCATTATTGAAAATCAATAGGTATATATATATGACAATAAGTTGCTGCTAGTTAATTTTTGCCCCTCATCTTAATCTTACATTCAAACCCAAACCCAGTTTCAAAAAAAAAAAAACAGATTTTCAGAAATTCAGATTCCAACAGAATGAATCATGAATTCTTACCTCACACCCTGTGAAAAAGTATAATTGACAGAATTCTCAATAAATGGACATTCATAACTATCATTTGGCCAAATAAAGCCTGAAGTCTTTTTTAATATTACTATCTACCTGCCAAGCTCCCTTAAGTAAGCACCAAGAAATGCAATAATGTAGGGATCAACAAGTAAATTAAAAAGTGCTAAGAATCCTTTAAAAACACCAAGATACTAACTATTACTCATTTTCTTTAAGTAAGGGAAAAGTTCAAGAATATTTGTAAGTCGGTTTTACTATAAAGACACAATGACTAAACATTTTCACTGGGTTGTGTAAAGAAACTATTTAAATTGCATCTCTCCTGATATTTTTTTCTCTTAACTATAAGTGGTTAATTGTGATCTCCAATGATATACAAATCTTTAATTTCAAGTCTAAAATTACCGAAAATTTTCTTTTTACATATTTACTTTGGAAGTGATTTTGTCAGTTTCTTACAAAACTAAACATACTTTTGCATTAGTCACTGTCCTTGATATTTATCCAAAGGAACTGAAAACTTATGTGCACACAGCAGTGGCACATGGATTTTTAAAAGCATTTATTTAGTAGAAGATCTGGGGTATAGGCCAGAAGTGCAGGGGGGGAGACCAGATGGGTTTACTGAAATACACCATGGAGGGGAGCAGCAGGCCAGACAGAGGAGGGCTACTGCTCCATGTGGGTTAGCTCCCTGGCCAGGGATCGAACTGAGGACAAAGGGGTGGGAGTACTGAGGCTTGACCACTAGGCCACCAGGGAGGCCCATTTGCACATGGATATTTATAGTAGCTTTACTTATAATCATCAAATAATCATAATCATCAAATGTTGGAAGTCATGAACTTAGTTCAGTTCATATATATATATATATATATATAGTGTGTCTCAATAATGCACACCTGAAGCTTATATACTGTTACAAGTATCAGTTTTTTTTTCCCAAAAATATTAGTACCAATTGGGCTCACCTGATTTCTTTGTTGATGGCATCCAATTGTTCCTGGAGCATCATGGCTAGAGTCTGGGCATCAGAATGACCACTTGGAGAGAGAAGATCCATTGAGCTAAAAATTGTTTCTCTATCATCATCATCAATATCAGACATCTCTGTGTCACTTTCAAAATGGTGGCTACTAAGCATTCCGATTTGCTGAGTTCTATTCCACTCATGATCACCAAGAGATTTTACCTGAATGGCAAAAGTACAATTAGTGGACTTATCAGACTGCTTATTTTCAAAGTTCTATTTGGAGATGCAACAAGAAAACACACATGTTTTTATAGCTTACCTGGCAACAGCAAAAGAGTATATTTTAATTTATCTGTTCAATAAACTATTTCTCTGACATCTTAGGTAATGCAGGTTATTAATTGTTAGCATAAATAACAAGATTTTAATAGACATAGGGATAAGAAGCTCCTGAATGATCTTTAGTTCAACCACAGGTCAACATAAAAATTATTTTAAATATTTCTGTTTGTTACATTTTCTATTGTTTCCAAAAATAACATTATTTATGTACTTGTATTCAAGCATTCCCATTTCTTATACTAGCTATTTTTATCTATATTTTCTATTATAGGTTGAGGCTACAAAGATTATCACACAATAAATTATAGAACAATCTTCCTACCATTCTTTTACAGAGATTCTAACAGTATTATTTAAAATATTGAAAAGGGATTTAATTTTATCTCTATTGTTCTAGTCACTTAAATGTCTCATTGCTCATTGACATTTTTAGCCCCAGATATGCGAAATGTTTGTTTTAATTAATATAATAAGTCCTTCATATGAAAGAAAGTCTTGTGTAAGTGATAGACCAGTGGTTTGCAAGCTGTGATCTGAAGGCATGATGGCACTGGGAATAAAAGGGAGGCTCTAGATTTTCTGCTTTTTTTTTAAAAAAAAATTGGTTTTTGTATCTGTGATGATATAAAATAGTTTGATGGGAAATACATGATAATACCCTGAGTATTTGCTTAAGAGCTGAAAACCTGGGGATTCTGGTGGCTCAGGGATTAAAAACATAGCACTATCAAGCTATCAGCAGCCACTGTAGCATTTGGATCCCTGGTCAGGGAGGTGCCCACATGACACAGCAGACCTCTTCTGTCTCTCCCGCTGCTCCCCTCTGTAGTTTATTTCAGTAGATCTGCCTGTTCTGCTCCTCACTCTGTCTCTGGTGAATCCTCTCATCCCCTGCACTTCTGGCCTCTACTCCCCTCCCAGTTCTAATATGCATAAATAAATAAATCTTAAAAAAAGTTGAAATCTGAAATAACACTTGTATTAGAAGATATTCTACTAGCAAGCAGTTCTAATTTATCAAGTAAAAAAGAGAAAATAACTAAGATAGACAATTCATTCTTTTCATTAATTTACTCATCCATTCACAGCTATTGAATGCCTATTATGAGAGATTATTGGTGTAATTTAAAAGTGTTAAGGACCTGTGTTTAAGTAAGAGCAAGTAGGTTATATAGTATTTTGAATACACAAAAGTGGAAGAATTGAACAAACTATATTTAGGGCACAAAGGAATTATATTGCTTCTCTAGCAAATATAAGATTACTCAACATGTATAACCTACAAATTTTAAATTATTTAGAACAGAAGACTGGAATATAGTTTATCATAGTTTTCCATAAACACTTTACTTCCAATAGTCTGCATACATTTTCCTTAAAAAAATAGCAATTTTTTAAAATAGTAATTTATTTGAAGTAATTAACTTGAACCAAGTAGCAATGTAGAATAATGTATAGAACCATGGATTTGAACTGCACAAATACATACTCCTTTGGTGTATATCCCACCACTTGCTGTATTGAACACTTAACCTTTCTGAACTTCATCTGAAACTTTATCAGAAATAGATGTAAAAAAAATAGCCAATGCTTAAAGGTATGTGGATAAGTTTGACTTTTGGCACATAGTCGGGATCTTATATTAGTTACAGTTTTAAAATGTCATATAATATTATGGTTGAAATGACTAAAACCATTAGGATTTTGAGTTTTCTCAGTGGTAAATTTCTACCCCAAATGGAATAATGTAATTATTCAGAGCCATCAAAGATTGAAACATAAAACAGAGAACTGATGATACTCAACAAAAATAAACAACCCCATCAAAAAATGGGCAGATGAGCTAAAAAGACACTTCTCCAAAGAGGAAATGCAGATGGCCAACAAGCATATGAAAAAATGTTCAACATCACTCGTAATAAGGGAGATGCAAATTAAAACCACAATGAGATACCACCTCACCCCAGTGAGAATGGCACATCTTCAAACAACTAGCAACAACAAATGTTGGTGAGGATGTGGCGAAAAAGGAACTCTCCTGCACTGCTGGTGGGAATGCAAACTAGTACAACCACTATGGAAAACTGTTTGGAGGCTCCTCAAACTGCTTAACATGGAGATTCCCTACAACCCAGCAATCCCACTCCTAGGCATCTACCCAAAAGACACAAAACACCGATTCAGAAAGATACCTGCACCCCCATGTTTATTGCTGCTTTATTTACAATTGGAAACATAAAGTCTAACCTTCGGTTCATCTCTTCGCACGCCCATGCGACCTCTCCGTGGTCTTCTTATTACTTTAGTTGTCCTGTAGTCGGGCTGGCTATCTGCTAGGGATCCAACTGAATATCGTAACTCAGCTGAGGTGTCCAGATGAGTTCTTGAGTAAAAGGGAAAATATGAAATACACGTTGTAAAATTAAATTTGCTAGCAACTATCCATTGTTTAATTGGCAATAAAAAATAAATCTCAAATGAAATAAAACTCAAGGCAGAAGATTAATCATTATTCTATGAGATCTCTTGAGAGGCTTATGTCAGAAATTCCAGCCTTGAGTCCACTCAGGAAGATCAAGTGGATTTTTTTTGTTTTAGAAATTAAGTCTTCCTCTTTATCACTTATCATTTTTGAAAGGCAATAAAATATGTTAAAATTGATAATCAAGATCTGTTTGTTTAAAATCTAGCAATTCTATTTTTATCAAAGTATTGATTACTAATTGATATTTATCATTGTAATTATTTTAAATATTCCTCATTAATTGAAAAGATAAATGTAGAAATCCATGGAGTATCAGAATTATCTATTTCTCAATGATTCCATTTTCAGTTTAGGAAAACAACAAAATGCTTAAAATCAAACTGATCTAATGTTAATAATCTTATTTCCTTAATAAAATAGTATACACTATCTTAACAAATAGAAAAGCTTTTGATAAGCACATTTGACTCTATTAGAGATAAGACATTTGGTAAATTCCAACTGGAAAATATCATTACACTGGTTTTCAGTAAACATGATAATAAAATACACTGTAATCAAAGCACAGTAAAGGTTTCTCTAGGCACATCATTTCCATATAGATTTACAGCAAATTCAATTTACTTCTACAATAATGATGACAACATTGACAACATGCTATCCTATAAAATGATCCATCATTAGTAGGTATATACTTAAAGCTGGCTTTTTCTCTTTAACTTGGGTATCCTGAAGATCTATTATTATGCTTCAGATCTCCCTGTAAACAAAACAAGAATTTTCCAAAGTATGGCAAGTAAAAAAGGGCAGGGGACTTCTGGGATTTCACCACAGTAGAAGACATTAACCGAAGTATTGCATGTTATAGTTTAGCCAAATATGACCAAACAACCCCGAAGTAGATGATAGTTATTGTTTACTCATCAGTGAACTTGAGATCCAAGCAGCAAACTAATTTTATAATGGATTAGTGATATACTAAAATCTAAAAATCAAGGCCAAATCCATACATGGCACACTTCTCAGTGTTAATATCATCAGCAGATTTTCATGATGATGAAGATCAACATTTAATCACATTTTATGCCCAAGGAGGATAACATGGAAAAAAAAAACACTTGATAGAAATCTGTTTAGAAAATTAATGGATTACACATTGAACATCTAGGTAGCTTTTGTCTGTGGCTGCTTTCAAGATGAGGTGTTGAATCAAAGAAGATGAATAAGGATAAACTCATTTAAAATTTTTAAAATTCTGCCCACTTGCTGTGTATATCTTTTCCTCTTCCTTTCTAATAAACCTATTGTTTTAAAATGTAAAAGTAAATACATTTTTAACATGATTTGCTTTCATACCCTATTTATGTGCAATTATTTTAATAGATGTGGTAGATGCTTTTATAATCAATGATATATCTTCAGTAACATTAAGTGCTGAAAACATTTGCACATGGAGGTTAAAAGACTGATACCTCTTGCTGTAATGAAAAGTAATCTTATATACAATTCCATTTCTTCATTTAAGATACTTATAATATATCCCTGCCTATATGACTAAGTACAGAATACACAAAGTAATAATTTACATTTTTATTGCATATCTGTAGAAAGGATTTTTAAATTAGAGAATTATTTATGTTGACACTATAAATTAATAACAGTCAAAATAGGACAATGAATGTTGAGCAATGGTAGATATTTATTTCATCTGAGAAGATATGATACTCAGGAAATTCAGAGCCTCCCTGGTGGCCTAGGAATTAAGTCTCAGTACTATCACCTCAACGGCCTGAGTTCCATCACCTGGCCAAGGAGCTGACCCACATGGCGCAGCAGACTTCTTCTGTCTCACCCACTGCTCCCCTCAGCACTGTATTTCAGTCAATCTGCCTGCTCTGCTCCCTATTCTTTCTCTGTTAAATCCTCTCACCCTCCACACCTCCGGCTTGCAACCCAGTTCTTCCATGCAAAAATAAATTAAAAATAAAGAAACTGCAAAGAAATTCATATTGATTTTGTTAATGAACTTCAAATAAACGTTAAATTAATATTACCTTGATATTGTGGGTTCAATTAAAGAGCCAGTTCTCATTTTCATTTGGTCAAGTTCAGATCTCAGCTTTTCAATTTCTTCTGCTAATCTTTCCTAACAATCAAAAAAAGTGTAACTTAGAGGATATGCATATGCCAATATGATCAACACTCAATCATGATAAATCAAGGCTTAGTAAATTTTTTAAAAAAGAAAAAACTGATGGCTAAATTTTTAATAAAGATTGTTAGACTTGAAAGTAAAATCTGCTTTTTGCCTTTGTAAAGAAATGTGAATAGCTGAAGTCAATACAAATTTATCTATCTTCCCTAGCATTTACTAATCCTAAATTTTTGCAAACATATGGGATAATAAAGTTATAACTAGTGATGTGCATATATATTGCTTCACAATACAGAGTAGAAATCTTAGCTTTTAAAAGTAAAGAAATGTCTTATTTATGCAAAGGATTTCAATTACTCTGTGAACATTACAGGACACATAGGTGAAGGATAAAGATTATTGGACGAAAAACATTAGGATAACAAACACCTTTCTAAAGGAAAGTTAACAACCTAATACAAGTTGAAGTTACTGGCTGGTTGTTCAATTATTTGCACATCTTATCATTTTCACAGATTGTTATTCTCAGTTTCGATGTAAATTATGAATATGGGACTGTTACTATAGTAGTTAACTAAATTATCGCACATGCACTCATTTTTTCTTTGAAAGCCTATAGCTTTTACTTATTATTAACATCTAAATACTGCCTTCTGGATTTTCTCCCTACTCTGTCTCTGGTGAATCCTCTCACTGCCCCTGCACCTCTGGCCTGGACCCCAATTCTGGATGAATAAATAAATACATCTTAAAAAAAAAAAAAAAGAACATGTGGGAGTGTCTTAGGAAAAACTACTGCAGATAAAACAATGCATTTTACATGCCCCTCAGTGGTACCACATTTGGTGAGGTCAAGGACAAGGAAATCAGTGACTCAGTGACTAGACTGGAGATGGTAAGGTAAAAGATAGGGAGGGAGACATTCAGAAAAGTGGTTGTAGGGTTGGGAAGGAAGGGTAGTCCTGAAAGGTTTTGTTAAATCATTTTAATGTCACTGACTTTTACTCTGAGATAGGAAATGCCTGGAGAATTCAGAACAGAGACAAACACAATCATTTGCCAACTGTGAATGCTCCAATGACCAGGAATGTGCAACAGGGAGAAATAAAACTATTAGTGTTCTTCCAAAATCATAGGCAAGAAAATTGTGGCTTGACAACAACAATGTGTAAGTCAGAGAATGACTGGGTTTTGGTTATATTATGAAGCTAGAATTGATAGCAATTGCTAATGGACTAGATGTGGGGTATGTGATAAAGAAAGGGATCAAGAGTAAACTTCAAGGTTTTTAACCCGAGTAAGAGAAAGAAGTGATTTACTGAGATGATCACTGCTGGTGTTGGTTGGGTGAGGTGTTAGGAGCATTTGGGGGATTGACTTCAGTTTACGATATCTGTGTGTACATATAGAGACACTGCAATGGCTCTTGAATAGTTGAGTTTTATCAGAGGAGATGACCTAGTTGGGGCTCTAAATTTGTTAGTTCACAATTTATAGACTATGTAAATCCATGAGATCAGGTGACACCTAGTGACCTCATGAACACGAATGCAAAGCATGCAGTGGTTGGTACTGCTGGGTGTCTGGGAAGACTGGTGAAGCTACAGGGCTTGGGTAGTTGGTGGGGGAGTGGGTTCCAGGGATCTTGCCAGGAGCAGAGTTTTGGATAACATAACATTGCATAACAGGGTAAAATCCAACATTTACAGCCTGGTCACAACCTAATTTTTAAACAGCAATCAGTCAAGTCGCAGCAAACTTCCAGTAATTCTGCAAATCAACCATCTTTGTGTTTTCTTTGTTCTATGGGAGCCATCTTCAGCCCTGCCTCTCTGTCTAGAGAGTTTGTGCCCTCAAGGACTTGATGAAATTTTACCTCCCCCATGCAGACTTTCTAAACTGCCTCAGAAGGAATTAGATGCCATGTTATATCACTTAAATAGTTCTATCCTTCAGGAGACTGTGTACAACCTGAGATACTTTTAAACTTGTATACTAAATCTATCACATTCAGTGGGGTTATGTGTATAAATTGTCCTCACAACTTTATTCTCTCATTTTTTCCTAATACTTTCCATATGTTGCCAGATTTTCCTTCTCTCCTCCCTCCAACCTTCCTCTCTCCCTTTCTTTTTCTCTCCCCTTTCCATTCTTTCTTATGTTCATTACACATTTAGATCATGTCTAGGTTTGTAATATCATATTATATCACTTGCTCATGCAAAACAAAATGAAATAAGACAAAATTTCCACCAAAACTTTTTTCAGGACAAAAGAGGAAAGACATCAGAAAGTACAGTTTTTAACATTCATAATCTTAGCCTGTCTGCCTCTTCCACTGTAATCTAGTCTAGGAAAAATTGATTCTAGCCAAAGTGCTATGTCCTTAGCATTTAAGATGTTAAATGTCACTCTTCATCCTTTCCCCCACATCTGTGATGATATTTTGAAAAACATCTCATATTTTTTTAAAACTTTAGTCAAGTCCCACCTGAAGTTTTCATAGCAATGACGTGTACTGATTCCTCTTACCTGTAACTCTTACTGTTTTACTCAGCACATGGCATGTGCTGACATGTAACTCCTAACTTTGTGGAAGGGGTGTTCATTCTCCTCAGATTTTTCAGCTATGTGGAACTAGAATCATGTTTGAATATATATAACATAGCAAAATTTGAACTCATAATAGGTAGTTAATGTTACTGTTAAAATTATATCTCAAATATGATAAAAACTTTAAAAAATTGTGTTATTTATTTTGATTGAGTTAGCACTGGTTTACAACATTTGTAAAATTTCCAGAAGTACAACCTCACGCCTCAACAAATGTATATATCATACCACACCCGACACCAAAGCACTAGTTACCACCCACCATCTTCCAAGGGGCTACTGTGTCCTTTACTCTTCCCCCTTAGCCAAATTTCTGCTGTCAGAAACTATGGATTTGTTTTTGTGTTTTTTTAGATAGACATTTTATTTCTTCCTTTATACCCCACAAAAGTGGGTTGTGTTGCTACTTTTTGTTCTTAGTGCATACATTTTTATTCCATTCATGTAAATCAAGTCAAGCCAATTTATCAATTTTTTTGGAAGGCAAGATATTGAACATCCTTTAGTATATGAGTTGTAATTATATGCTAATAAGAATGTGGCTTCCAGAATGCTGACTTTTAGTGCATTTGATTTGCAAAAATTCAACAATTTTTGTACACTTTTGTATATATAGTATACTATTTTAAATCCTTTTAAAAATACAATAGCCTAAATTACTTTTATCAAAATTATTATGAAACAAAACATACATAATATGAAATAGAAAAATGGACAAAATAGACATTTTAATAATACCTTATCATGTAAAGATTCTTCCAGATTTTTTCTGAAAGTTTCTGATTCTTGAATTAAAACATTCTACAGGGAAAAAGAAAAATAATAGTGAATTACACAGAAATAACTAATATATACATTGACTTTTAATAACTCAAGATTTTTTGATTCCTTCCATGGTACGTCTAAATTTCTTGTTTACATGAAAGCCGAGTTTTAATTTTTTTAATTAGACACCTTAACATTTTGGGGAAAAAAAAGTAATTTAAGTGGAAAGTGCTACTTTGTAAAAACTGGATTGACAAGTAATTACCCATACAAGTAATTTGTTTTCTTTTTCTTTTAAATCTGAAATAAATTGCTTACTCAAATCAGGAAAAGCGAGTAACAAGCTAAACATTAGTCACTAGTGTTACAGATAAAGAATTCAAATGAACTCATTTTTGTTATATGAATAAAGAAGAATTTTTCAGATCTCTTTTTTTAAAGTTCAATTTATGGAATTTTCTTGCAAAAATGTTAAGCTTTTAGAGAAATATAAATGAGCTTGATGATATATAAAAAAGAATCATATATGTTATGAGGTGGAAATAAGTTGTAATGTAGTTAGTTTGAAAACATTTCCATAAAATTATTTTTGTTATAATAAGCTTTATACTTAACAGCAGTATGAAGCAAATAATTATTTATAGAGTAAAATTAAACTAAGAGTGTAGTGATTATCGTGATTGTGTGTTTGTAACTGAATGGGAAGAGAGCATGCCACAGGATTTCAAATGAAAAAACTAATCAAATTATACTTCTTTGAACAATTTCCCCAATTTTGGCTTACTGTATGGTACACGGAAAAATGTCAAGTGAAAGACTTTAATCTAAATTTCCAAAATGATTTGTCTATCTGGTTATTATGTCCTTCCTTTGTTTTTACTCTGGAATTTGCAACCAGCTCATGCAACTCTTGCTGGTCTTACAGCTGTCAACCCTCTGTGAGACATATGCAATTACAAGTGAGATTGCAGACTGTATAGAAGCATTTTACTTTGAAACAATAGAGCTGAAAATATTGCCTTCCTCGCTCTTTGGAGGCGGATGGCTGACACTGGTTCTATTGGTGATATAAAACTACTCACATTTTGATTGTCAAGCTAACAGCACATTATCAATTATTTGAAACTTTTGAATAGTTCAAGTTTCCTCATACACTGAAACATATTTGTTTTTTGCATTGTCACTCTTCATTGCCTATCAGTAAGGGCAAAAGTAAAGGATAAAGTAAATATTTTCATCATAAAAATGCAGCACATTTTCAGATATTTGTTGCAGATGATTAAGCTAATAGGCTACACTTTTATGACACACGGTGTTTCCTATTTACTTAAAAATTGATTTACATTTTTTTACAGAAAAAAATGTAAAAAAATGTTATTCACTTCTAAGAGTTCATCAGGCTTTTTTCCTTTTAATTAAGGAAAGCAAATAGATTATTTAACTAATACAATGGTAGGAGCAGGGATACGACACATGACATTGGTACATCGCTTAATGTTCAGGTGATGCTACTTGACTGTCATTTTACCTTCTCTTCTAGAGAGGCCATTCTTTCCTTTAAGTGTAGCTGTAAACGTTCATTGGATTCAGTCAGGAGTCTGTCAACCGTATCGGACAATCTTTTGTTGTGTTCCTCATTCATTTTCTCTCTTTGCCTAGCCTTGCATTTGAGAAAAAATGTAAATATTTGACATAAAATCTTAAACATAGAGTTGTGTCTGCTTTTAAAATTGGTTTTATTTCTGTCTGTTATGATTAAAGTGGTAGAAACATTTTTTTTCTACATACAGGGAATATTCATATGGTTTTCAATATGAGCCAAAATCAAGACATTCATTTCTTATAGCTAGCATATCAATTTGTAAACTGATTATTGGAAGCGGCAGTTCTTAATATACATACTCTCTGAAGTTCTTGATTTTTCTCTTCAAGTTGTCCTTCTAGATGTCGCATGCGTTCTTCAATATTTCCATGTCTCTCTTCAGCCTGTTAGAAATATATGAAGAATGCTCCTGAAATGTAAGATGTGGTTAACACTTTCCCTCTAAATAAATTGAAATAAAATGTAAAGCAAGCTACTACCAACCGCAAATGTAGTTTTCCAAAAATAAACTTTATTTAAACAGGCAGCTGAACAGCATTGCTTGAAATGTGTCAGCTACAAAGGCCTGTTACATCCAAGCATCAGCAAAACATTGGAGTCTTTTATGAGCAATGAAATCAGCCAAATGTAACATGCAGACTGCATGGTTTGAACACAAACCTGCCATTGTCCAATCTTAAGCTCCTGAAGCACTGAACTGCACAGATGGTCGATTATCAATAAATAAAAGTAACATAATTTTTAGAAATGAAAAGAAAAACTTAGATGGATTCTATTTAGCAATAGAAAGTAAAGTCCAGTAGGACTACCTTCCTACGTATGGAGATCATTTCTTGTAGTTTAGCTTCCATAACATATTGATAATCATCAGATGAGGTAGAAGAGGTTGGATCAGACTAACAAGTCAAGGAAAAGGAGAGGGACAAAATTGAAAAATCAGAACTAAAGACACTGACACTGAACAGAATATAGCACAGAATGCTTAAAAAAAAAGTGTGACAGCAAATATAATACTTTAATAAACTTTATATGGGAAGAACTATACTGATATCTGGTGAACATGATGCAGTTGATGATAATAAATGAAAAACAATGACAGGTTCAAATAAAAAGCTACCAACCTAAGACATGGAAGGTTAGTGATGTCTGGCAATGAAAGACTGTTACAGAATGAACTAAAGCAAATCTGAGAGTCATGTCATAATTGGAATTATGGGAAACCAAACACTAGAATATGTCTCTGGTAGATTATTGAAAGTTTTGTATTTTGGTTTGTTTTATTATATTACTTAAACATAATGGAAGTAATGTTCTGGATGTTAAGGAGTATGCTAACAAAATGACTCAGATGAAATAAACTTGGAACAAAATTTATTATAAACCTAACTTCATAGAAATCAGAGGATAAGCTAAGCCTCAGGGTTAATTATCATGAGTATTATCCATTCAAGCAGGACTGAGTTTCCTCAGCAACAGTCCTGGTCTGTGAATCTGTATTATGACTGTAGGTCTGGAACCTTAGTGCCCATTCTCAAATATAGTCTTTACTTGAAGTTTTTAGTGAAAATGATAAAGAGTCCTCAAATTATCAAGGTGTCAATAACACCATGAGGACAATAAAACTTACTGGTGAATTGTCTGGAGGGATGAGAGCGGCCACTCCAAAACTGTTTCTGCATTGACTTGTTGCTATGGAAACAAACAGTCCCCTAAAGTGAATAGGCAGCACTGTGCTTTTGTGAGCTAATGCTTGCTCAGTGCTAAGGTTAGTTACATGTCTCCGAGGTGACTGTCAGGTTACTACAGATGCAAAGTGTTCAACACATGTGACAATGCTGATAGCTGAGTTGATTAGTATGCTCTACAGATTACATGTAAAATTATACCCACATTTTAATAATAATCACAAGTTAAATATTATATTATCAACAGGCCCTATGTCAGGACTCTAACAAGCACATACTGTTACATTTTATAAGTTTATTCTAATATAGTAGAAAGTTACTTTATGCAAATATAGGACTAAATATAAATACCTCACACAATAACTGGAAAAAAAATAGGAACCTATTCAAGAATTGGTTCGTATACATATGCAATAGCCGATTCAAACCGTCCCCACTAAATCTATGAAATAAATATTAAATATTTAAAATCTGGTGTGCTTATGCAAATGACAATTCAATATTTACATTTTGCAAGAGTTTACCTCCTAAATGGTGAATATAATGAAGAAACAACAAATAAACAGTTTCCTCAAATTTCCAAGCAGTGGCTATTTAGAAAACTACTGTTGTCCACAAATGTTAGAAAAATAGTTTTGCAACTATGAATACAGTACATGGGTCAAAATGTTGAAATTATATAACTTAAACTCATCAGTCACCTGTAATCTCACAAAACTAGATTTTTAACAGGCAGCTTATAATATTAAAAATAATCAGATGAGTTCTTCTTAACATAGTCAAGGCAGAATACTTCACCTGTCAAAAATGTCTCTTCAAAAATCTTAGGGAAAGTCCAGTCTTTAAAACTTCTACCCACCTCTATCTTAAGTATAGAAAACACACCAAGCATTGTGCAAATTCATTTCAGAGATTGGGCAAGAATCTTGTTATGTTTAAATTGCCATGTTATTGCTGACACTTTTTTATTGGTACTAAAAATAAATGAAATACCTTATGAAAATCAAGATGATTTATGTCCCTGTAGAGGGAACATGTATTTTAATTAAAGAATTAGAAATCATACAATTTAAGTTTGAGAACCCAAATTTTAATTTGTTAATTATGTATATATTGCCTTAGTTAAATGTTTAGTCTTATGTTAGATTCTAATTAATACATATGGCTTTCTAAAAGACTTCCACAGACACAGACAAAGAGAATTTTCAACCAAAGAATAAATTCAAACTTCATTATTAAACAAATATTGGCATCTGTTTTCAACCATTATTGATTTATATTTATCATACCCTTGTGAAAACTGCGCTTAAGCAGTTTGTATAAATGCAAGGATTACATAAAAAACAATCAATTAGTTTTTGGTATCTTTAATAAGATACAGGGTTTATCTTGGTTTTACTCTTGAAAGTGGTACAGGAAAATTTCAAATAAGCTAAATTTCTAAAGTCTAAACATTTGAGAAGAAATTGCAGGCAGAGATGACTTTAAGAAGAAAATGGATATATTTGGAAATTGATAAAATAATAAATTTAAAGAGAAAACAGCTAAAGATAAAAAGTAAGTGGCAAATAATAAGTGTGTATATATCAAATAAAATACTAAAGAATTGTTAAGGTTTCTATTCAAAATGTAGGAGATGGAAGTCTAAATTTAAGTTAAGCAGACAGTTTTAACAGTAAGGAGTCAAAATATTAAGAACTGAAAAAGAAGACTGATGATCTAGTAATAATGAAATATTAAAAATGACTTAAAATTGAAAAATATAATAAAGTGGATTTTGGGGGAAAGACTGTGTCTTGAGAACAGAAGACAAAAGCAAGTATGAGATCATTGAAGGCAGGAAATTCAGGAGAGCAAATTTAAGAATGATCTTCAAATGCTAGAAAAATGTTACACGCAGAGGAAGTGTGTTGAATGTGATATTGCCACATTGAAGTGTTGAGTATAATGAAATAAATGTTGCAATAGTCCAAAAACTGTCTATCTGAAATAGTGTTATTGACAGAGAAGCAGCCAGAAGACAATTAAAAGAGAAGGAGAATAATTTACATCACTATTTAAAAGGCTAAAGATCTATTTAAAAAGCAAGGAAATCAAAAGTGAAAGGAAGTGGGATTTTAGCAATATTACTATGTAGGAGTAAACTAAGGAAATATATTATATTAGGTACAAAAGTGAATATGGGTACAAAAATGAGTCCAAACAAATAAAAATATGGGGCAGAAAGTTTTTACATTCAAAACCAAGGATTTTTAGGACTATTTAAGGTCAAGCTTCATAGATCACGTGTTATTTTTCAAATTAGTTTTATTTTCAATCCATCAAAGCTTAACTTGGAGAAAATTATTTGCTGAATTGTACCTTTGGGAGAGATTTCAGACTTCCTGGTATTTTATTCGGGATGATCATATTATACTGAAATTTTACAAAATTATTCTTATTACTTATCTATTCACTTAACTCATCCTAAACATTTCTCAGCTCAAGCGAAAATATTAAATATGCATCTTTATACACATTAAAGTTACTTAAAATGTCTTTGTAAGAAAAAATACTACTACCATGTTTGCACATTTTCATAATTTAGAGAATATTTGTCAAGTTAATTGTACATCCTCATCTAAGAAATACTGTTTCTGAAATCTCCACAGTGATTTACTGGCAGGATCTGTGTCTATGGAAGAATCTAAATTGTAACAGGACCCTAATCCTGTAAATTTTTATTCAGCTAGCTACTAGAATACTCTATAAGTAATCAACTAATCCAATGTTGTGTTTTGCCTTTTCACTACTTGGTTAATTTGCCCAGTTTAACAGTGGATCAATCTATTGCTTCTCTTTAAGTTTTTTATTATTTTTTTCCTTAGGAAAGCAAGTATTTGCATAGACTTTAGTATTACGGCATCAATTGTTTTGGATAATCTCTAATGCCAGAATTTATAAATTGCAGTTTACATAAGTATATTACTCATACTGAAGTGCCTGGAAAATTTAGCACATAGCAATGACTGTGTGAACATTTAAAATGTGTGCATATTTTTGACTTGATATTGAAGGTCAAACATGCTTTTGGTGCAAATCTGGACTTTTATTCTACTGATGTGCATATACAATTTGAGGCAATGCCATTTCCATTTGACTGTGAAATGTAAGAAGTCAGTTTTAACATTATAATGGTTTCAAATTCTAAAAAATTCAGGCAACTGCAGAATCAAATAGCTACAGCATGGGAGATAATTCTTTAACATTCTTCATTATTGTTTTAATGGGCTCAGAAGACTTTGTAACTATCAAAAGCATTTTCTGCCTATTTAATGACTTTAAATGTTGGAATTCTACAGTCTAATTCCCAACTTCTTTTTTCATTGTTTTTTTTTTTTTTTTTTTTTTCTCAAATTTTATTGATTTGTCAATTGTTTACATAACTATATAGTTTAGGAGTGCAACTTTACCATAAGCATACGTGTTCATGCTTCATTCATCCTCCACTAGAAACCAATGCCAGCACCATATCGTCTTCCCTCCTTTACTCCTATCTCCCTCTCCCCCTGTTCCATGTGGTAGTCAGTATATTTTTCACACAATCTAAGCTAATTCCCACCTTTTGAGAAACTTTTCCTGCTTATGGCTTTTCTGATACGTAAACTACTAGAAAATTTATGTTGAGCCTATTAAATTACTATGTATCAAGGAAAAATACATATGAAATACCATCAGGGTGTGGTCAGATTCAGCGCTTATTTTTCAGTATTACTCTTACCATGAAAAAATGCTATAAAAACATGAAATATTGTTTGCTTTTGTAATGTTTAAAATAGGCAAAGGACTCAATACGTTCATACCAATTACATGCTACAAATAAGATATGCATCAATTTTCAAATTTATCTAAATAACAGACCAATATAACAGATTTTTATAAAACTTAATTTTCATGGTGCCAAAAAGAAAAGGCATCCTTTTAATTACTAGCTATTTTCTTAAGTCCCTCTCAGTTGGCCAAATGTTATATTGCAGTACCTTTGTCAAGGCAGCAATTCTCTGAGCCAATTCGGCCTCTACTTCAGGTAGGGTCTCAGCTTTCCTCATAGTCTGCTGCAACTTTTGCTCAGCCAGCTCAAGGCGCTCTTGCAATTGTCTGTTCTTTTCTTCCATCTGAAAAGGGGAGGGGGAAAAAGACTTTTTTTTTAAAGCGTTACAGTCAGGATCGGGAACGCTGGTTTTCAGCTTTCACTAGACTTAAAACTAGCTGCTATTTTCACTACTATGCAGAATGATAACTGTCTCATGTCTTCATGTGGCACTTACCTATATTCATTAACAATTCAGCATATGAAATAAAAGAGAAGCTCTTACCACTGGCAGAAAAGATAAAAGAAGTCACTGGTGAATATAAACTTGGACAAATGGAACGTGGCTCAGCATTAAGAATTCAAATCTATTGTCAGAGTAGATATTGACCATTATACTATTCGTAAATACTCTGCATACTAATTAAGAATCCAGGTTCTTAACCTGGAGTTGTCAAGTCTTTTCTATGAAGGGCAAGACAGTAAAATGTTAGGCTTTGTATATGACATATACATATATATATATATATACACACACACACACACATACACACACACATGTACTCTCTGCTTCATATATTCAACTCTCCTTTGTAGCACAAAATTCATCATTAAATGAATGGGAATGGCTGATTCCCAATGAGATTTTATTTGCAAATAAAATTTTAGGTCGATAGCTTTGGTATGTGGGTCACAGTTTGCCCACTCTTGCCTCTAGTGCTAAGCAGACATAGGCTCCTATGATTGACTCTGGTGGTAACTAATTGTGGCTACATTGTAGGTGGTGGTTAGGTTTAAGTGAGTCAATGCATGTAAACTGTTTAATGCAGTTTCTGGTTCATGCGCTGATCCTTAGTAAACATTAATCATTACATTTTATCATTACTAAGACATTCTTTTTAATTTTCCTAAAAAAAAAACCACATACTGAAAAATTCCACCTATATAGTTATTCCCTTTCTAAATTATCACAAATGATGATTACCAAGAAAAACCTTATTGAATTTGTGTTTTGTGACAGGGGTGAAAACACACACGGACCAGAAACCAAGAAAAGGATACTGAACCTGCCGTAGGATGGCCTCTTTATTTGCCAACTCATTTTCTAGCTTATCATTCATGTCATGGATGGAGGTAGATTCTCTCTGAGCACTGAGGTAACGCTTCTCAAGGGTTGTGATTCTTTCTTCCATATCTTCTTTCTGTGCCATAGCCTACAATTACAGTAATTGAAAAAAACTCCAATCACATTCTCAATGTAATACATTATCTTTTGTTTAAATAAAATAGTAAGATATAAAAACGACTCTTTTCATAAAGCAAATGTTTATTCCTTTTCTTCATGGAGGGGATGCCAGAGTTCATGTGTGTTTTCCAAACTTCTCTGTCAGAATCCCTACATATTGGATTAACTGAAAGAGTTCTGTCCTCTCAAAATGCACTGGAGTACAATTTAGAAACTGCCTATAATGGAGTTGACATTCTTAGAAAAGAAATGGAAGAAAAATAATCTCATTACACAGATTCCATATAGGCTAGATTTGAAAATGGTGGCAAAGAAAACTTCATATAAAGGATAACAATTACTGTTGAAATTGTCATCTTTACATACAAGAGCAACTCAAGGTTAAAAGAGGAGGCCAGAAAGCTCAGATCTGAATATCACAAATAAATCGACTAATTGACTTGAAATCTTTCATTCCACAAAAAAGAAAAAGCAATCATGTCCATTCAAATTCTGTGACTGTGTTCTTAGTTGTAAATATGGTTTTAGATGTGATTATGTAAAAAAAAGAGCATACAGAATTAGGGTGGGCTTTAAATCCAAAAGGATATTTTTATAAGGAGATGGAGACTTTTATCATTATTAATCAATTTATTATTAAATCATCTCCCTATAATCAGCCAACCTGTTTCTCTGACATATATTCCAAACAGGATTCACTTGTGTATGACTTGGGTGTTACATTTTGGGTTCAGTGATTCTTGTGGGTGATTCAGTGTTTAACTGCAGGCTGTGTTGCCAAAAATAAATTTTAAATTTACAAGTCAAAGAAATATATTTTCCTCATGTGTCATTTGGAATTTCTAAAAAAAGAAACTTTCTAGTCTCTGAAAACTGCTACCTATAAAAAGGAGAAAACAGAAAAAGACCCAATTATCTCATGACCTAAGGTTGACTTATAAGTTGGATTTTGAGATATAAAATATACATAATACTTAAGCAATACTAAATTGAAAAATATTAGTGTTTCAGAACATATAAGAGACAAAACGGCATCCATTTATTCATTTAGTCACTTAGCAAACTTTTGGGAAGCTCTTAATAGGCAGTTAGAAAGATAAGCTGATTTTACCCACAAAACAACAAATTCTTCACAGAAAATTCTTACTCTTTGAATCTCTATATACTTAGTGAGGTATTATTATCTAATGCCACTTAGTAGCCTTCTTGATTAAAAAATGGAAAGCTAAGTCTCTGTTGTAGTTCTATCTTTGTTTTATAGAAGTTTTTATTTTATAATTTTGAAAAATTAAAACTGACTACTTGCCTACAAATTTTTATATCAGTAGATTTCAGGATTTCTTCTAAAGATTTCCTTTTCAAATATTTCAGGGAAAAATTGGTCTTAGCTGAAATCTCAGACTGAGTTTTTGGATTAATAATTGAAAGACATCCAGTAACAGCAACTCCTAAACACATCATGCAACAGTAAAGACTAAGTTCATCTTTGCTTTCTATTATGTGTGCTGTGCCTAGGTTTTATCCAGTTCTCTATTCTAATAGAACTGGTTATAATCTAACTAAAGAACAACTAAGATTTATTCTTTGACAAAGAGTAATTCTAATACAGAATTATTAAACCATTGATGAAATATACAAATAGAATTAACTTTTAGATCTATTAGATTTTCCTCACATGCAAAGTCAAGTACATTTTAGTTTTTAATTATATGGTCACTTTTTCCTATTCCATCATTTTTTATTTAATTGATTAAAGAAATATTTATTGTTTGCACACACACAAAAAATAGCAATATTATAGGAATGGCAAGAAGAAACCTGTTTTTTCTTTCTTCATAAAAACATACAATCCAGCAGACTCCATGAGTCCATAGCCCAAGAATACATTATTGTTCAGAAGTTAAAAGCAAAGTCTGGGACTTTGAGCATGACAAAACAAAACCTTTTTAAATTACATTTTTTTTCACACCCTGCTTATTGACTTTAAAAAAAGATAAGAAGACTCATTATTTAAACAACAGTGAGGATGCATTTTTGGATTAATAATTGAGTGATAGCTGAATGAATAAACCTGGTTTATAAAACTGGAACAAACCTGGTAATTTGCCTGGCTAATCCTTAAATTCTTTCCCTGAGGAAAAAAAAATGAAAATAATGACAAATACCTGTCTTATCAAACAACTATGAGTTAGAAAATAATATACTGCACCTAAAATAGTTTTTGTGGTTGGTCCTAAAGGAATCACGAGCTAGTAAGCAGTGAATGTCTTGTGACCTGCATCTTTCTGGAAATATTTTATTTGGACTTCACAATGTTTTTTTTTAAATTTATTTATTTATGCATATATAATTGGGGTACAGGCCAGAGGTGCAGGGGCTGTGAGAGGATTCACCAGAGACAGAGTGGAGAGCGAAACAGGCAGATTGATGAAGTACACTGCTGAGGGGAGCAGTAGGTGAGACCAGAGAGGCCTGCTGCGCCATGTGGGTCACCTCCAGAGACCAAGCTCACACTGAAGTGACCAGATTGCAGTGCTGCACTTTAACCCATTCAACCACCAGGGAGGGCCAGGCCTTTGCAATGTTTTGGCACACACACACGCACGCACACACACGTGAATCAGAAACCAGAGAGGCAGCCAGAGGCAGAAGACGGATGCCTTGTCCGGGTCTCAATAATTCTGTGTTTTCCTACTGTCTTTTTTCTGCTCTACACACATTTACAGTGTCTGCCTGCTCCAAAAGCATTTGTGTTTGCAACCTCCCTTCAAAGGCAAATAATGAGAAATACTCCTTTTTTTAAATGAAATTCTTCTAAAACAGAAATACACAGAAATTACAGATATAGTAGCAATAAATTGTTTATTTAAATAATTTCAGGTGAATAAGGAACACTTTCCTATTAAAAGAGGTTCCTGATAAAAGAATGCCTGGCATCAGACAACTGACATTTTCCATCTATTGTGATATTTTGCTGCCCACATATAAAGAATGTTAGAATCAAAGGATAATTTTTACAAGTACAATCAGAATGGGTGATTTGGAGATACTGAGTTCTATCTGTGACACTAACTGGATCTGATGTAGTTGATTAGTAAATGAAAGTGGAGAATAGCTAAATCTCAGGGATTAGGAAAATGAAAATATACAATTGAGCAAAAGGTCAAGGAATGACTCTGGTGACTAACTAGAGAGAAATTCTGGTACACCTTCACAGTGTTCTAGCAAACAGGTTAAACTTTATCCACATTATAACTTCTCTGTATTAGTATTGTGAGTAGTGAAAATGAGAGACATATTCATGAAATATTAATTTGCAGTAAGGTGTAGAGAATAAAATAAAGCATCATCACTATATCTATATGATAGTGGAGCATCTTATCCAGTTCATGGATAAGATCTCTTTTTCTGAGAAATAAGAATTATTTTAGTAAATATTCTAATCTCAGCCATGTCTTTAATACTCAGATCACATATCTATATATACAAGCATGTATGTATATATACACATTTATTCTTTTTAAATTTTTTTAAATTTTTTTTATTTATTCATACAGAATTGGGGTACAGGCCAGAGATGCGGAGGGTGAGAGGATTCACCAAGGGAGCAGTGGGTGGGTCAGGAGAGGCCTGTTGTGCCATGTGTATCTCCTCCAGGCAGGCAGGGATCGAACTCATGCGGACTGGCTTAAGCTTCTTAGTGCAGTGCTTTAACCCGCTGTGCCACCAGGGAGGGCCTTTATTCATTATTTTAATGAAGAATTTTTGCGTCTGTTATTTGCTCAACAGTTGTTAGGTGTTAGAATAAAACAAAATAAGACAAAACAAAAAATCCCAGCCCTTCTGAAAGAAGAGTGGGACATAGCTTTTAGAAGTCATAAAGATTATTCATGGCTTATAGACTATGGCAAGGTCTTTGATTTTACCATTACTAGGATAGATTGCCACTGAAGAGTTTTAAGGAGAAAAGTGACTTGGCTGACACTGTGACAACAGCTGCTATGTTTGCACAGACTGTTACAATAATCTAATGAGAAATGATGGCTGTGTTGAATAATAAAGAGTCACAAAAGCTATAAGGTCACATTATGATATATTTTGATTCTGGAATATGATTTACTGCTGAAATGAATGAGTGTGGGTAAGTGCTACCATGGACAGATCCCAGGTTTTTGGCCTGAGCAATAACAATGCATTTGCCATCAGATCATATATGTAAGACTGCAAATGAGTTTGACTTCTTAAGGCTATATCAGAAAAATTGTCCTGTGGACATTAATTTTAGATACTCACTCTAGTTTTGGATATGTGCATTGTAAACCAGCAGAGAAGGATCAGCAGGAAATAGAAGTTGGGAATAAGAAGGCCAGGAGTAGCTTTTGGAGCCATGAGACAGCACAGATTTACCAAGAGGAGTGAAGGTAGATTGAGAAGGGTGATTGGGAGTGAGAAGCAGAGACAGCAAAGGAGCATATGGAGGAAAACTGAAAGAGATTAGTGTGCTATAAGCCAAGTGAAAAAGTAGTCCAGGGTGTGGGAACTGTATTCAGTGCTTCAAAGGACTGAGAAAGGACTCAGGATTCAGGAACACGGAGGTTAGTAGTGACCTGGATAAAAACAATTTTGATGGGACTATGGACATAAAATTATGCTACACTGGGAAGAAAAAAAGGACACATAGGGTCAACATTTGGCAAATTATGTAATAACATAAAAATGTATGATTTTAAAAACCATTAAATAAAATCTTGCAAAATTACAGAATAAAATTTCCATATATGTAAATACTTTTGTTTTTAATTGAATGGAGTAAGAAGGTGAAAGATTCTAAACCTCCTACTTTAGCTGGTAAGTTGAGTGGCTAATATTCTATAAAATACCTTCTATCCTTCATAGTAACTTCAAAGAACTCTCTTTAAATAGAATGATGTTAAGTCTAGCACATGAATACATCAGGAAAGCTTCCCATTTTCACACATATACACTCACATAGAAACAAAACCAAAATAAGAAGGGAAAACTTAAAGCACCATCTTTTAATATCCCCACAGACTAACTGAACACCAATTTACTAATATTCCCACATCTAAGAAAATTCAAAATTAACATGGGCTTGGTAAGGGACGATGTGGGTGGTTTGGTGGTGGAAGAGCTATAAAGACCACACCTATGGGGAGAAACTCTCTATTCTTAAAATATTAACAAAGATGTCAAAAAGGTAACTCATTCAGAAAAAAGAATGAAATTGAACAATTTAATGAAGTTTAACAATGTAAAATGTCATTAAAACTGTAAAAAGTTATTATATCTGCATTAACACCGAAGTTTCCTTTCCATATTATATAAAGATGAAGTAAACTATCTTTGTCTTAGTGAACACATTTTACAACTAAACATAATGCATCCCATTTATGATCGCTTGAGAAGAGGTAAAGAATATAAGCCATTAGAGGAATTGTAGAAAAAAACATCTCAGAGGCAGCAAAATGTTATGAGCCACTCACCTCTCTAATGTCCCTTTGATATTTAGTGTTCATTTCTTCTGTTTTGATGAGATCCTTTCTTGCTGTCTCTGCCTCCTGTTCCACCTCTCCCACTCGAGAAGACAGAGCTGCTAGACGTTCTTTCATTTGGGCCATTTCATAATTTTGCTTTTCAAGCAATTCTTGTAGTTCAACAATTTGACTAGTTTCATCAGTGGAATCTATAGAACCATTGGACAACCGCTGCAGGGAAAGAAAAAGAAATGTCACCTACGATCATCTTCATCGTTAACTTAAAATTCATGATCTTAAACAAATGAAACAAATATAGTTGTCCCATTGAGAATAACTATGAAAGAGTTTTAGAGGAAACGAAGGTATTGAAAAAATGTCATTGACATTTAAATATGAAAATAGATAAGCAATTTTCAAAGAGGTTAACAGGAGCAATTGAACTAGAAGATAATATATATATATATATATATAAATACTTTATTATATATATGATTTTATATGGAAACAGCACAAGACACTGGTATAACAAATAATTGACATCTTATGAATTATGTACCAAATTGATTATAAACCACCACATACGTAATATTATTAAATAATTTTAAGAGCACAGAAACTGTGTAATATTTGCCATTTTCATTCAAGATCCTCTGTGAATTGGCAAGTTTTATTTTCAATGACACCAGACAAAGAACTTACATATTACTTTATTTTAAGAAGGTTGTATCTCCTGTGAATTTGACCTAGCTGAAACAAGTGATTTGTATATTGATGTAGACATAAAGTTAATGAGAGCACACCAACCCATAGCAAAGAGAACAAAAGAGATGAATCCTTTCAGACTGATTCTTCCTCTTTCTCAAGAGAGGCTGCCTAGAAACCAGGCGGCTCATCTCTTGGAAAGCCCACCTCTAGTCCAGCTGTATTAGAAAATTTTTGTGGTGAAAACATACTAGCAACTAGGAAGAAATGAATGCTATGGATAAAAACACAACCAAGCAGAAATAAGAAAATATGGAGAAAGATGAAAGAAGCACAGTTGACTCTACTATGTTTATTGGAGAAACATTAACATGTGATCGATATATTAAGAAACAATTTGAATATAAATCTGTAGGGTTTTATGTGCAATCTGATTTTAAGAATTACTGACTAAACCTAGAAAGCCCCACCTAGTTGAACCAAGCGATGTGGAAAGACACATAACCACGTGAGCACATTCCTGAAACATCTGCCACCTACCTCTCTTTACTACCTGCTGGGATTGACCCATCTACATGTGCATAACAACTTTCTGCCTGACTTCAGAAACCTGTCCTTCCATCCTGTTGCCATAACTCCTATAATCTAGACTGTGCCTGACACCACTTCCATAGGCAAAGTTCAGTTTTTTTTCCAAGATAAAGAGGCAGTTATCATTGAATTATTGCAATTCTTAAACATTATCACCTGTAAAACTACACTACTATTTAACTTCCTATTTTTTTATGTCATTCATGACATTTAAGTGTGCCACAAACCTTTCACCTCCCACAAACCTTGTACTTTTTATTGTGCAATTTTGCAGTTTTAGGAATGCAAGTCTCACATTAGAGTAAAACAGATCGTAGGACAAGAGGGAGATTAGAAAGCATCGTAAAAACCGTGAGCGAGATAAAACAGAGAGGAAGGGGAAGGAGGCAAATGTCAAGGAGCTTGAAGCCCACTAACCTCACCCAGGGAGAAATGACCTAGTCAACTAAGTAAAAATAGCAGAGAAAGTCTGAGTCAGGCTGAAGACGGTATCCTAAGAAACCAGCTGGATCTGCAGACCTAGAACTTTGAAGGTATTAACTGTTGTATTGTATATTGAACCTCTAATTAACTTGTAAAAGGGGTAGGAGAGAAGTTCTGAATATGTTGCTGGAGATTAGACTGTGGTTAGCAGAGTGGATCCCCTTCAGCAGTCTCTATAGTTCTCTCTCTGCACTGCTGTGCTTGTTTCTGAGAGAATCAGAGCTAAGAAAAGCTCTAGGAATTGAACTTAGTGATAAAGCATTGCTTTTGCAAAACCATACTCCTCCCCTGGGTCATGCAATACAACATACATCGTAGAGTTGCATTGTTGTGAAGTTAATTATAATAAAAATACCTTTTTAGACAGCTTTTATGGGCGCAAAACTCGAAAACATTGTGAGTGACTTTTATACAGGACATAACTACCTGTACTTTGAACTGAGAACAGCCAGTTTATAATCATTAGATAGTAACTGGAACTGATTTAGGAAAGAAAGTAGATCTAAATGCCAGTCAGTTATCTCCAAATCTGGGATAATTAAAGTATGCTATGGCAAGTGTTTTGGAACAATAGCAAGTATCTTTGAATATCAAACACTGTTTACAAGTCAATAGGCAAGTTTAAACTTTAATAATATTTTTACTTACACTGAGAATTAACTAGTCACTTTTAATCAAATAAAAAGCATTTTTGAGGGAAATTATAAAAATCGCTAGAAAAAGTTTTGTTTTAAAAAGTACTTCATATAATTCAAAAATTACATTTAGGATTCTAGAGCCCTCAAGAACTTTGACGAAATTGAGATTCAGGTAATCATGTAGAACTAATTTGCCATTCAGTTCATTGACCCTTTCCATTATTTCCTTTAATCTGAATATATATTATCAACATGATGACATTACACATGCTGCATGGTAAAGACAAGTACTAAGACTGGTGTGTTTGTCTGGGCATACATATATGTATACACAGATATTTGGCAAATTAGTTGTTCATAACAACTATACGTTGTTTATTTTCTAATTAGAAAAATGATTATTCTAATTCTGTGCACCTGGAGGTCCATTAAAATCCTGTTTAAAATTGCATAATTTTTAATGGGCTCAAGGTAAGAAAAATTTAACTAAATATAAACAGTAATCAGGCAACTGAAATAAAATACTTTAAAGTGTTACCCAATTTAGCTCCTTTAAGGAACAGATGTATACTGCATAATCTTTATACTTTTTTGGAATTTATGACTATCCATGGGAAATTTTTCAAGCTCCCAGTTGTTTCTGAAGTGTTTATGAACATTTTTTAAAAACTCAAATATTTCATTTATTCAAATCACCTAAAATATTTTATGGCAAATTAAATATGTTTTCTTAATTTTAGAGTAGAACAGTAATATAAAAATTGTGATTCATATCTTCAAGAGAGAATAAACAACTTTTATTTCAAATCATTGTTATCTAAACATGTCTTTAAAACCTGTGGCATTTTTAACTAAAGAACAAATGACTGAACTAAAGCTCTACTGAGATGTAATTTACATACCATCAAATTCACCCATTTAAAATATAAATGCCAATATGTTTAATGTACTTAAGGAGTTATGTATCAACATAACTATGTTGATAAAATTATTTATGACATAACTGTGTTATAAAATTATGCTGACAATTTAATTTGAGAACATTTTCATCATTGCACATAGAAACCTTATACCCAATAGAAACCATTTACACCACACCTCCACTCCATCCCTTGGCAAACACTAATTTATTTGCGTATTTTATAAGTTTCACATAAGTGGAATTATGAGTATAAATTAGAGCAGAAGGCATGTGGCAGGGAAATGTGTGTAGACCACAATGGCCTTAACTTTTCATATGGATAGAATGAACTTTGTATATTCAATGGAACAACAGAGAATCATGAAGGTTTTTTTTAAACAGGGAAATAACATTAAAATTTGATGATATTTCAAGAGGTAAAAAATCAGGTATACAGTTAGGTGGTTTACAAGTTCATACAATTCTATCTGGCCAGAGATGGTTATAGAATGAACAAGTGTTTTGATTGTTTCAATGTCTTTAGGGAATAAAACAACATACTCCTAAAAACATATTTATTTAACACATCCATTAATCAATGACTTTTAGAAAATCAGTAAGGCACAAAAATACACAGAAATATAGAGACAACACATTCAGCTGTCATTGCATAAAATTTATGGGAAAAAAATGTTAAAAAAATGAACCCCAAAAGGAAAGTCTTTTTTGTTTTAAAAACACTATTTAGATGAATTACAGAAAAATCTGTAGTAAACTTAGGAAGCCAATATTATAAAATTCATGTTAAAATATAATATGGTATTATATACAGAAGCTTCAGGATATTCTGGTTATACTGACTTCTCCTGAGATAAAGTCAGGAGTTTAAACAAGTTTTTCCATTTTCTACCAGGAAAACAATGGAAATACACTTTTCTCTGTGTTTGGTCATCTTTAACAAAATTGTCTTAGACTTTTCCTGACCCGCCCGCTGCTCCCCTCAGCAGTGTACTTCATCAGTCGGCCTGTTCTGCTCCCCACTCTGTCTCTGGTGAATCCGCTCACCCCCTGCATCTCTGGCCTGGACACAAGTTCTTGTATGCATAAATAATCTTTAAAATAAAAAGAACCTATAAGAAAAATAACATAATACAGACCAAGTATTCACAAACCTAAATAATAATAATAACAAAATTAGAACAGATAGTAAATTTCAGGAACATCAATGAAGTATTAGGGTGAGGGAACTATTTATATAAAATAACCAGGGTATCCATAGGCTAATAGTAAAATGTACTTGTAAATATAAGGAAATCCTAGACAAGACACTGGCTTAATGAGGAACTTCAGAACACTTCAGCCCATTTGAAAACTTGGGAAATATATCCTTTTGTTCCAAAAGAGTGTTATCTTCCTCATTTTATTTCATATCCTCAAATTAGAGTGCCCAGATAAGACTGTATTTTTCATGAAAATAATGGGAAATAATATAATAGCTTATATTCATTGAGCACTTATTCCACAACTTATAACTGGCAAGTTTCCTGCCATTAAGGATGGTTTCCTAACAACTTACCGCTTGTGGTTATCTAATATCACTAATGCTTTATTATGA